ATTTTATTGCTATGTTTCTTTAGTAGAATAATAGTATTATTTTCCTCTAGACCCATGATCTATGTAGTATCAGGTTCTTGCCCACTTTAGCAGTGTCAGCTATGGGTTCCATCTCATCAAGTGGGTCTTAAATCCAACCAGTGTTTACTCCCATAACATTTGTGCTACAGTTATACCAGTTTATCTTGCAGGCAGGTGACTTTTGTAAGTTTCAGGGTTTGTAGCTGGGAGAATTATTGGTTACCTTTCTTCTCTAGTAGTGGGCACAGCATCTTCTAGGACCATGAACACTGGTCAGTTGGGTAGAGATTCTAACTGGGCACCAGCTCAACTTCTCTGTGTTTGATAACAGTAGTAAGTGTTCATCAATAGAGGGCCTCACCATCAAGTGTGATGAGCAACCCTTAGCCTTGGCAATAGCTATGATGTTGGCAAGAGTCTACGCCAATGGCCTTTGGCCAATGACTCAACAAGATATAATCCATTCCTGGCTCTGGAGGTTTTACTTGGTGATATATGATGTCTAATTGGGTCATTGTCTCCCCTATAATTTGGTGATTCCATTCATATATGTATATATTTGGGATGCTTCTACAGTACTAGGTTTCCACATAGCTTTTCAAATGCCCTTTACTGTGAGTTGTCCCTCCCTATATTCCCTTATTTGTCTTTCTCTCCCACCCCTCCCTTTTTAATCCTCCAATTGTAGTTTCTCATTTATCTCTCTATAATACTAAATTTAGTTTCCCTTCCTTAGAGTAGTTCGATAAATTTTCCATAAAGCAAAAGTAAACAATAGAATAAAAAATGAAAATTGCAGGTAAAAATCATCCTGTGTGAGGTAACCAAGACTCCAAAATACATGTTTTCTCTCTTACATACAAATGCTAGCTTTTATGCAGAGTAATTTGATCATATTTATCCACCATTATCACCCTCTAGCTGCCCCTAATTTTCCATACTCCAGCTCTCTCGCAAATTTAAGTTGTTTTGAGTCTAACTGATCATGTGTTGAGCCATCCACTGGAGCATGGGCAAACTACCAGAGACCACATCCTCAAAGGAGAGTGACTTGCCTTCCCTCAAAGGCCGTCAATTTCCAATAGCTCCTCCACTAGGGGTGAGTTTCAGGTGTCAATGTCCCTGCTCGTGCTGGAATTTTGACTGGCTGAATTTTATGCTGTTTTTGTGTAGGTAACTACAACTGTTGTGAGTTGATTTGGGCAACATCCACATCATACGCAGAAGTCAACATTTCACAGCTCGCCTCCCCATCCCCAGACTTTTTATGCTTTCCACACATCTTTCAGAATGTTCTCTGAGTCATTGTCACAATTTTTAAAAGGAAAAGAAAAAAAAAGTTGGTTCTAAAATTCATCCCAGGCAATTGTAGTGCATGAAAAATCATGGACACAGCTTTGACTGTTCAACATATGCTAGAGCACTGTTATATGTGCAGCCACAGCCTGTGGCAATTCCTGGTGGGATTCATGGTCTACCTGTATACTTAGAAAAGAAGGCAATGGCTTGGCTGAGAAGCTAGTGACCTCTTCAGTAGAGTCTCTGGAATTGGGGTTAAGGACACAAACTTCTCTGAGGTTTGATGGTTACAAATTTAGACACAAGAAGTCACAGTTCTTTCTCTGCCATTCTTTTTGCAGGGTCATTAGTAGGTAGGGAAGTAAACACAAACAGAAATGTCAAAAGAGTTTGGAGGGAGAGAGAGTTGATCTGTCATTGAAATGTTAGAGGTTATAGGATGGAACATGTTGGGGTCTATGCCAAACCAAGAATGTGAAAAGAAAAGGATAACATATCTTGCTGATTCATAGAAAACCACAAAACAATTAAAATCCTAATAGTTAAGAATTAGTCCCAAGTTACATGATTATACTTTACATTCATGTTAGCTTCTTCCTCTTAATGATGTATTAACGGGTATTTTAATATGAGCAAAATAACAATTGTTTTTTTTGAGTGGTGTTTTGGAACATAAGTGCCATTGACCAAAAGCACATTACTATTCTATATACTGTGCCTAAAACTAAAGCCCACCTATTAAAGTACAAATTCATAACAAGCCAATCTTTTTGTGTATTCTAAGGTTTTCCATGATACAGGAAATCAAGTAGTTATAAGCTGTTTCATGCACCTTAAATACAAGATTATAAGAGAAATATTACTGAGGTAAAAATAGGTGAACATCACTTCGTAACAACCATGCAACACAATAGTAATTCTGAAAGTGTAGAAGGCATCTCCATGGCTAAGATAAAGGTTTTCTGAGAAGAACTGCAATAGCACAGAGTAATCCCAATCCTGACACATGGGATTGCATGAAATTAAAAAGTTTCTGCACACCACTGGAGAGGGAAGAGACCACTTACAGAACTGAAGAAAATATTTGCCAAATACATGTCTGACTGGGGATTCCTATCTATAATCTATAAAGAAATAAAACTAATCAAATACACTAAAAGGACACATCAAATCAATAAATAGCCCAATAAATTAGATAAACAGCTCTCCAAGGAAGAAAGATAAATGGCCATTAAATATCTGAAAAGGTATTCAACATCTTAAGCCATTGGGGGAATATAAATTTAAAATGTGTGATTTTTTTTTTACCAAAGCCAGAAGGGCAATCAACAAGAAAGCAATGATGAACACTAGTGAGGATGTAGGGAAACAAGACCTCTTATTTGCTGCTGGTGGGAACACCAGCTGGTGGAGCTGGGAGGAATGTGAACTGGTGGGAAATCAGTATATAGGTTTTTCTAAAATACTAAAAATACAATTACTATATGACCCAACTACACTAACTCTGAGTATCTACTCAAGGTGTCTAAGTCAGCATACCACCTCTGTGTTTACTCCTGCAGTGTTAATAGAGTCTAAGGTATGGAGCCAGTTTAGAGGTCTATCAACAGGTTGATGGTTAAAGGAAATATGATACTTACATATTGCAATTTTATTGAGCTGTAAAGAAAGCAAAATTAGAACATTTGCAATAAAATTGAAAGAACTGGAGGTCAAGCTAGAACAAAATCCTCACTTTCATGTCAGTTGACTTTGTGTGTGTCCATGTGAGTGGTGTATATGTGAATATGTTGGTGTGTGTATGTTCATGTGTACAGGATGCATGTGAGGGCAGAGGTCAATGGTGGGGGCTTCCTCAATTGCTCTCCACATCATTTTTCTTTGAGGCAGAATCTCTCACTGAAGTCAGCAGTTTAGCTAGGCTGACTTTCTAGTGAGTTCCAGAAACCACCCATCTGTCTTCCCTGCACTGGGGTTAGATATGTACTTCCTTGCTGAGCATTTATATGGATGCTGGTATCTGAACTCAGGCTTACATGGGAAGTGCTATATTGAATTAACCCTTTCCCCAGCTAACAGTTGATTTTTGATGAGACTATCAAGATAATTCCATTGGAGAAGGGTAATAATCCTAGGGCAACAGGTAGCCAAATGTAAAAAAATGGATTGGACTCCTTTCCTACATGTTAAACCAATTGGATCATGGACCTACTGAAGGAAGTAAAACTGAAATCTGGAGAAAAACTTTAGGCACACATCTTCAACATGGCAAGGCTTTGTTAGATATAAAAACACATAAAAATAAAGACAAATAAACAACATTGAATTTGGACAAAATTAAAAGACTTTTCTATAGCAAATGACACTATCCAAAAATGAATACACAACTTACAGAATGGGAAAATTGTAAAGTGTGCATATAATTAGAAATCTGTATCTAGAATATTTAAGGAACTTGTATAACTCAGTAAAATAGCCCAATTTGAAAATGAGAGAACATTTGAGTCCATATTGTTTTTCCATAGAATACTTATAGATCTCCAGTAAGCCTTAACATTTTGCAGAAATGACAAAATGAAATCCCTTCATACATGCCAGAATTTATGTGCTGACTACATTCAAATGATCATCATTCAAAAGATAATAGCATGAGGTGAGAACAATCCACTATTGACTAAGATGATGAATAGTGCAGCCATCTTGTCAGTTTGGCAGTACCCTTCTTGTTTAATGTAGAATTACCGTATGAGCCAGTATTCAGCTCCTAGGTAGGTATCCAATAATAACAAAAACACATTTAACACAAACATGGACACTGATTGAGGAGAATTATATTCTATATTGTAATGATCAAGAAGTAGAACCAGCCTAAATATTTGTGAGTTTATAAATGAGTAAGTCAAATGTGGTATATCTGTAAGTCATTTAGAAGCAAAAACATGTAAAGTGTTCTACCAATTGCAGCATGGCCAAGCCTTGAAAGTTTTATATTTAGTGAAAAAAAGTCAATCCCAACAGGCCAGATTTATATAAAATATCCATAATAGTAAAATATACGAAGTAAATTTAGTAGTTACCTATGACTGGGAAGTATAGGTGAGGCAAGCAGACGAGGAGAATTCTGGGGTCTGATTGTCAATGGTTATGGAGTTTCTTTTTAGGGTTATTATGATGCTAACATTTTGTGGTGGCTATATGTGCTCCAACATGTTGAGTTCTACATATTGAAGAGGTAGATTGTATTTCATGTTGATTATATCCCAGTAAAGGCATTAACATGTATAACACATAATACATTGTATCTGCTTTGCCCAAGGGACTTTTTCTTCCTCAGTTTACAGCCAAGAAATGTGACTCTACTGCTGTGGGATAATGCTTTTGTACAGTGGTTCAATAAAACTCTGATTGGCCAGTAGTCAGGCAGGAAGTATTGGTGGGGTGGGCAAACTAGGAGAATGCTGGGAAGAGGAAGGCTGTGTCAGGAGTCACCAGCTAGACACAGAGAAGGCAAGATGACAGGCGGCACTGAGAAAAGGTACCAAGCCACATGGCTAAACATAGATAAGAATTATGGGTCAATTTAAGTGTAAGAGCTAATCAGTAATAAGCCTGAGCTAATGGCCAAGCAGTTATAAATAATATTAAGCCTTTGTGTGATTATTTTATAAAAGGCTGCAGGACTGTGGGTGAGAGATTTGTCTTGATCATGGGCCAGGCGGGACACAGGAAAACTTCTGACTATACTGTACTGTTGCCCAAATTTTGGATATCTCCTCAGTTATAGTTTATGAGGTTTGTGGAGGGACCCTCCTAAGAAAAGTCTTAACACTGAGAAAAGAACTTCTTAAATTCTTATGTGAGTCCTGCCTATCCCTGTTCTGGTTTTTCTACCTTTGGATAGTAGAGCTTTGAGTCAACCCAGCATGGCTTTCTTAATTGTTTGCTCAATTTCATAATGAGGAATGAAAAAACTATTTCTTTTAATTTTGAGATGATAATTACACCATTTACACCCCTCCTAACCACCCCATGTTCTCCTCCTGACTTTCTTTCAAGTGCATGGCCCCTTTCCCCTGTTCATTATTGTGACATACATATATGTATATGAATTTCTAAAAATACATAAACACAACCTGACTTCTGTATAGTGTTACTTGTATTCATGTTTTCAGGGCGGACCATTTGATATTGGATAATCACTTGGTGTGCTCTTCCTTGGGAAAGACTATTTCCCCTACTTTCAGTATTTCTTAGTTGACTGTACTTTGTGTCGTGTTGAGGCCTCTTGAGCGTTCCCCCATTCACGTCAGCATGTCTGTTGTCATCCTTGTTCAGCTTGCATGTAGGCAGTCATGTTGGTGAGACCTTACAAGTGAAACTTGTAACTTCTGACATTCTCAGGAGACACAATCTCACAGCAAACTTCCTGGTCCTTCCACTCTTACAATCATTCTGCGCCCCTTCCACAATGTTTTCTGAGGTTTAGGTGTGGGAATTATTTTGTAGATGCATCCACTGGGGCTCAGCCCTGCAACTCAGTGGGACTTGGTTCTGCAGCTCTGCATTTTATTTTTATTGGATATGATCTCCATCTGTTGCAAAGAGATGTCTTCTTGATGCAGGGTGAGGACTGTACTTACTTGTGGTCAGAAGGGCGAATATTTAGAATGTAGCTGGGGATTGTGCTGTTTTAGTAAAGTGACAGTTATAGGTTCTCTTCTAAGACTGATGACTTTTTGATAGTTGGTGAGGTTTCTATTACCAGGCATGATTTCCTTTTTGAGGAGGTCTTAAGTTGAATTGGAAGGCTGTTAGTTACTGCCAAGGTATGCATGCCACTACTTACCCTGAAGATTATCATGCCATGCTGGTCATTGTTGTGGTTCTTACAGTCTACATCTGAGGACCTTATGAATGCTGGTTGTCACTCAATTCTCTGTGCCACCTACATTCTGCTTCTTGCCTGTGTTTGAGTCCTGATGTCATTGAGAAGAAAGATAATATGTTTGTGTGGCTTCTTTTTCCCCTCCTTTAGTATTATGGATGAAACACAGGACCCTGGCTTTGGGAGGCAAGAGTAGTAGTCTTGTGATTCCATGAGGGACTTTTAAGGAGCTGCCACGGCATGATAAGCAATGTTTTCTGTTGATGTGTAATTCCCTGGTAGGTAAAAAAGGTTTTGTGTTGTTATTTTTGTTCTTATTGTATCATCACACTGATGCTAGTATTTCAATGTATAAATTTTGAGGTAATAATTCATGTATTGTCTCACCTCCTCTATTAGGGTTTTCTTTGTTCCCAAGGTGCTTTGTGTATTCATCAATTAAATTTGTGACCCAGGCAAGTTTTCTGTACAAGTCCCGATTTCCTCTCTGTAAAATGAGAGACAGATAACAATAAGGCGTGCTCATTTCATTGAGTTGTTATGGGATTAAATGGGTTAAATTATGAAAGTATGTACATCAGGTCGAAAATGGCCTTCGGTATTCTTTGCCACACCTCCTGTGAGGCAATGTGTTCCTTGGCTCTTTTTCAGTCCAGGCTACCGCAACCTAGGTATATACCTTCAGTCTTGACTGACCTTTAAACAAGAAGGATCCTTCTAGATCATCTTCAACTCATCCATTTCACAGAGGAGTTCACAAAGGCACAGAGGGAAGGAACATAGGCAGGACCCACAGCACACTATTGATGTGACTAGCACTCTGACATCTGAAAGTGCTCTCAGCTTTTTCTCAACCTGCCTGGCATGCTCACAAAGTCACAGGCTCATTTTTCTCCACTTGGGCAAAAGCTCTGCTTAACCTGTTGTCGTGATGAAGTGAAAGCATGAAGTTATTTTTCTCTGAGCCAAGATGGATGACAATTTCTATAGGACCATACTGCTGGAAACCGAGAAGCTCCTCCCTACAGCCAACATCTCCTCCCTGGTCCCATAAATCGCCGCAGTGGGTGTACCAGACTGGACCGATGTGTGGCTTTGTGTGTCTCCAGCAGTCTTGCAACTGAGTTATTACCAAGTGAACGTGAACATATGCATTTCACACTCCTGTTCTGTGACCCTTGGAACCTGTCCAAACTCATCAGAATCTGAGACCAAGACAGAGTTCATGACCCAGAGATAAGGGACTGGGGAGATTTGGGAGGAGCTGATTCCCTCCTACATTTTTAACTGACTATGGGTTTTAAATCAAGGGGGGCTGTTCTTTTGTTACTTAGTATTGAATAGGTGCCTCTAACACATTTAAGAGGAGAAGCTACATAGAGGACACAGAAGATCACTGATGTTCTAATGCAGCGCCAGCTCTTTTACCTCACATACCACACAGCCTCAGAGCCTGTGACCTCACTTTGCTCAGTTTATTGGCAAAGGGGTGTTTCTTCTAAGACCCTGTCCAATGGCAACATGTATGCATCCAAATTTACCCCTTTGTGTCTTTAAGGGAAGTATCTCTGCCCACCTTTTGTGTTAGCTCTGTCTCATCAATCTCCTAGGGTTTATACTCATGCCGTCTCCATCTATGTGATGCCGAAGGGGGAGAGAGAAAAATGTAAGCTAGGTATCTATGCGTTGAATGGGAGATTCTGTGACGCAGGATGACGAAACTGGTGGAGATTTAAATCTTGACTCTTCCAGTGGTATACACTGTGGCTGTGGCTTTATTATATAGTGAAAGTGTGGTAGCCTGAGTACAGTGGATACATTTGATAAATGTGAATATATACTAAGTCTACATAATGCACTTAGCACAGTGTGTGCCATCCATCCCTCTACCCTATTTCTTTGCTCCTACTGTCCTTGCCTGGGGAGCACAGGTGAACGGGTTCAGCTGCCTTTTGCTCTTGAAATAAGCCCGAGCTTCAAGTACTTTCTCCTGAGTTCTCTGGTGGCTCACTCATCTAGTGGATCCACCTTCTTTGCTTGGAGAGAACCAACCTGAAACTAGACCCCAGACTGATTTCTGGGAAATGTTGAGTTTGCTAAACAAGGAAGATCACGCCTGCATGATCACTTGACTACTTCAAGCTGGACTCTTAAATTGACAAGCTGGAGGGGGGAGGGACCAATGCTTTCGGCATGAAATATCACCATAATCGATTATGGAAACCCCAAGCCTATTTAGAGCTTTTCATTTCTAAAAGGTGAGAATGGGGCAAACAGCAGTTTGCAAGTGTGTCTGTGAGCATTCCATACTGCTATGGTAACCGAGCATCCAATGAGAAACAGGCTCTCTACTTCACTCTGTTGCCAATTTTTTTGATGTACCTGTTATCCTGCCTCATCCTCAATATTTGCTTGGAATTCTGCTACCATGAAGCATCCTATGTTGTTTTGGTTTTGTTTTTTTGTTATTCTGAGCAATCTACTCTCATGGTGACATGAGAAGACTCTCTAAGCTTCCTGGAGACTTCCTGGAGGCACAGGCTCATAAGTTCTAAATGATCTCAGATGCCCCCAGCAGTAAAGAACCAATCTTATTCATATACTCTTGGCATCTGAGAAGCTGAGGTGGACGGGGCAGACTTTGCATCCTCAGTTTGTCCAAATACTACCCTGATGCCTAATAATCCATTCTACAAATGTTTCCTTAGGTGATAAGTTCAAGGGTCTGGGTGACACATGGACAGAGTTTGGCATCTGGGAGTTGTATTTGATCCGGACAATGTCGCTCCTTGGCTTGTAGATGTGGCTATTTCACCAAAAAGTTATTTTATCCTTGGTTGTTATGAACTTTCCAGGCAATTTCCCAAGGAAATACTTAGTTGCGAAGGATATAATAAAATAGATTGCAACTTGCTCTCTCAGAGGCAGCTGGGAAATGTGTGTTTCTTGCCAAAATGTTTTCTGGGACAAATGTTTAAACCAAAACCTAAAATGGGTGTAAAAATGACTATTTTTTTCTCCTCCTATTCCCCCCTCCCCACCTCCTCATTCATATAGATTTCTGGGAAAGGAGAGGATTCTACCACATGGTAATACATTTGTCTGTCTCTTTCATCATATGTGAATGTAAATGGCATAGGTTGGCATTCCTTCGGATGTTAATGCATTCCCTTATTTTTAATTATGGCCTTGGATCTTTTGTGGTTCTCTAACTTCCTTGAAATATTCTGGGGTTTTGTTCATATCAACCACTATGTAAAAAGAAACATTCATATGTTCATATTTCACTTACTTGCCATTAACAGAGCCTTTGGAAGTCCAGTGTTCCCAGTGTGGTGGAAGGGCCAGCCTTTTCTTTCCAAGAAAAAGTGCACAGCAGAGAAAGTCCTCTGTAGCTGCCCTGCCTCTGATAGCCATTCAAGTCCACCTCACTTGCTGCGAAACACTGTGGCTTGGCAACTTAAGAATACTGCACGATAGCAAACCAGATTTGGTCAGTAAATACCAAACCTTAATGCAATCATTTTGGTATTAAATATAAGTACACATCGATGTCATAGTATCAGTGTGGTGTGAACAATTTATCTACATGGTTGTCCCTGAAAGGTGTGAAGTCAGTGCACTTAGCTGTGACTTCAAGTCCCAGAGCAAGTGGGTGGGACACTTAGAGCCTTGTAATCTAGAGGCAGGTTGTGCTGTGTGAGTTGTCTCACTAGAGAGGAGGAGAGGAAGCACACTGTTTGTTCAGTTCTCACTAGTTCTCAGGTTGGCCACAGGCCATTATTCAACAGTTGGAGGGTCATTCAACTTCCGGCCTGCCCTATGCCAGCGCCACATAGTCTCCAAGCAGAAAGCTGTAAGCCCCACAATGACATGCCTCCATATGGCCTGTAACACTGAGAACACCTGCTGCCATGCCATCCAGGGCTTTGAGAGCTGTACAAACCAGAAAAAGGAGGAGCTGTGAGCTGTGAAGTCAGATCAATGTTTCAATGATGTGGGAAGAACTCCTTTCTTCTTTTAATTCTAATTGTTATGATCAATAACAATACTGTAGGGTCAAAAATCATCATTCAGTTCAGTTAAAATAAGCAGCATCTTTTGGTGGTTAGTCTCACTCTTCTCCTGTTTAACAGCCAACACAGTGCAATACATGGATTAGAAATGTGACCATCTATTTTTTTCCTACAGTGCCTCTTTCTCTTCTAGGTGCCAAATGTCTAACTTCCAGAGTCAGCCTGTACCTTGAGGGTTCAGTCCTTCTTGTCTTCCCAGTGTTTTCCAGAATCTGATCTAATTTCAACTTCCATGGTTTAGTGTGGAGGATCTAAGAGGTGGCCAGTCTGTGTCAGTGTAGGTAGGCAGCGGTCTCCTTTCCTGGTCATCTTTCAACTCCAGCTTGTCACTTCCAATCTTTTTGTTTAATTGCAACAAGTTTTTTCTAGAGCATAATGAAGTCCCATGAGTATTGTTTGTTCCTAAACATTCAGTTCTGCCCTGACTCTAAAGGTAACTGATATCTAGCTCCAACCTCCTGTATCTAGCTGTGCAGCCTAGAACTCCTTCCCCACACTTGGGGGGGAGGGGCGACCAGATTTTAGCCAGCACCAGCCCCTCCACCTTGATTATTGCCATGGCTTCCCCCTCCAACCCTGATATTAGCTGAAACTTACAAGGTACATTCAGCACTGTTGACTACTGAAACAGAATTTTTTAAGAAAAGCAATGGTCTTATTTTCACTGTATCTATTAAGCCAGGAAAAACTAATAATTCTGCTATGTCCAAATTCTCTCTCAATTTATAAATTAATATCCAAAAATTTTCTACAGTTGCCTCTAGCCAGGGGTGTAAGAGCTCCACCCCCAGAATAGTAAATGATTTATCATCAGTTGTTGATTTCTGAATCCAAGGATGTCTCCAACTGCTGGCCTATGAGCTAAACCAGTGGTACCAAAACCAAAGAAACAGCAGGAGGAGGACTATGTTGCTTTAGATATATATGATTTTCTTTACTGAAGGCATACTCATCTCTGATAAAGGTTGAAGATTTCAACTGCTATAGATGAGGATGTCCATTATTAATGAAATGGTAAAGGTCATGTGGACTGTTAGAGGTGCCCTTCAAGGACTTTGGTCTTCCTGAAAAGCCCACAGACTGTTTATGGAGAGATCCTTCCTCACTCATCCATGTGGGTGAAAAAATTTTTTTCTTTTGATAAATAAAAATGATGATGCCTAAAAAGAGAGATTTAAAATATTTATATGAATCTTTATAGTGCTTTTACTTTGAAGAATTTGTATCATTTATGAGAAATATTTGAACTGAGACATCTCCTGAGTATGGATCCAAAAATGTATGCAGCCCAAGGTCTGCTGCAGCAAACCTTGCCTCTGGCTTGCTCATCTTCCTGGTACCCGCCCCCATCCTCTTTTAAAGGCGTGACTCTGCTGTCCTATTTCTCCAATACCTGGTCATTGGGTGGGGCCCTGGGACTTAAGGTGAGGTTGAATCTAGAACACGACATGAAAGATGCTGGAGGCTCAATATAAATCCAACCCCCCAAAGGCTGAAGGGTTAGGAATTGAAAGAAGTCCGAAGTGGACCCAAGGAGCTGGAGAGTAGATAAAGGTAAGGATGGGTTAGGAAAGGCAGTAGAATTCCAGATTGGGTTAAAGGATAACTGCTGATTTTACTAGCAATGTAATGACATACCTCTGAAACAATTCATAGTGTCTAAGTCAAGGAAGGAGTAAATGCTGTTTTTAGGTAACAATAGTAATATTTGGCAATACAGTATAGAAAACATCTTGTGTTCTACAGATTAATGCCAATTTCTGTATTTGCAAGTAAAACCACAGCAGTGCCCAGTAAACGTCCTTGGAAAGTTAGGACAGTGGACGTTTACTTGGAAATAAATTGAAGCAACAAGTAAGAGACATTCTCATCCCCCTTAGAGTGACATCCATACTATCATCTGATGCCCTGCTCCCCTCCTTAAACCAGCCTGTCCTGAGCAACAGAGCCACCTAGTGGTCAGACAGGAAATGCTGCATCCCTGAGTTTCTGCTGTGCCTTTTAGTGGGTAGCCTTTAGAATCTCTCCTAGGACTCCCTGAAATAGACTCTGGTCCCCATTCCCAGGACTGACCAAGCAGATCTAAGGTGAGACCTGATAGTTTTCATTTCTAACAGTTCTCAGGGGAAGAAGTACTGGAGCACTTTGGCATCACACTCTGTGATATGGGGCATCACACTTTGTGAGCCCCCATGTTATAATAAAGATGGTCACAGACTATACCCCATAACCTAGCAATTCTACTGAGCACAGATCAGTTAATTTCACACTGTACATCAACTACATACATATTTATGTGTATATATATGTATATGTCTGTGTATATATATAATATGTATATATTTTATATGTGTGTATATGTGTATATACATATATATGTATATATGTGTATATATAAATATGTATATATATAATCTTTTTATATAACCATGTTTTTTATCATATCTTATTTAACTTTTACTCAAGAAATCACAGGAAAAATATTCTTTACTTTTTTCTATTCTATCTTTTTCTCTGTCTTCACTATAATTGATATTCAAAGAGGAAAGAGAGGGTGACATGCTCTGGTAAGCATGAGTAGTTAGCACATTTGATTAAGTAAATAACAGCACAAGATTTGAAATTGGCTAATTACCATGACACCCTGAAGCTTTAGAAAGAGTCCAATTATTTATATTGTCACTAAAGTTCCCGCTTGATGCCACATCTTTCTTTAATTAAAATTTGTTTTTATAGAAATATGCAGAGTAGAAAAGAGGGTTTTTTTCTGTTATTAACTGTATTTTTGTTGAAGGCATAGAAGAAATATGTTATTGCTTAAGGACACAGGGGGAAGAAATAATCTTATTTCTATGTGGATTCTGACTTTGAAAGAAAACTCAACTTATACACAGACATTTGGAACTTACCCATTTATAAGTCAAAGATAAAGAATTGTCAGATGAGGATGTAGCAATTGGGTTGTGTACACCTGAGAAATACAAATGAGAGTTCTTTAATAAAATATACAAGCATAGAAGTAGAAGAGAGGTGGATCCATGACGCTTACCATTTTTAATCACAGTGCAGTGGAAAATGTGGGCTACAGCATCATCATCAGTGCCACAGTGGCATCTTGAAAGGAGTATTCAGAAAACAAACCAAACAAACAGCTGTTCTTCCCAGGCGGCTTCACCTTCTCATAAAAACAAACCCCCCAGAGGCTTTGGAAGACATTGATGTATGAGCTGGTCCCTCAGAGCCAGAGTGCAATCCATCAGGTCCCTCCCGGTGATTACGTCTCTGAGACCCTGAAGTGGAAAGCTGGGGTGTTCCTTCAGTGAGATGAAAGCCATGTGAAGGATGCCCTCAGCCACCTTTGCTAGTGTCTCCATAGCCAGAGTGATTTTATAGACCAAGTGAAAAAATACTGAGGACTAATTGCCAAACAATGGCTTTCTTTGAAGTTAGACAAGTGCATTCAAAACAATCGTATCTGTGGTTAACACAGAGAATGCTTTTCTTCTTCTAGAAACATCTAGACATTTTGACACAGCAGGGGCATGGATATGGAACATTTATATAGTAGAATCTTTGTCACCAGCTATCTCTTAGATCTCCGAGGAGAAATAAGAAAAGTCATTTGGTAAACTGAGGTGCTGTTGTAGAATATTATTTTAACTAGGCAAAGATGTGTTACATTTGTTTATGCTGCAGACCATCACTTTAACTGTGTAAAGGTGTATTAAATTTGTTTATGACACATTTGTTTAACGATGTAAGGGTGTGTGTTTGATTATGTAAAGATATGTTGCATCTATTTCACCTTGCCTGCCTAAGGCACCTGAGTGGTCTAATGAAAAGCTGAATGGCCAATAATCAGGCAGAAGAGTGATAGGCAGGGCTGCCAGGCAGAGAGAATAAGTAGGAGAAGAAGGAGCAGAAGAGGGAGAAAGGAATAAGAGAAAGAGAGAGAATGAGGGAGATGGGGGCAGAAGCTTAACATAGAGACAGCAAGAAAGTAAGAAAAGGTTTAAAAAAAAGCCCCAAGGCAAAAGGTAGATAAAGAGAAACAGGTTAATTTAAGTTAAAAGAGTTAGCCAGAAATAAGCCTAAGCTAGGCCAAGCATTCAAAGCTAATAAGAAGTCTCTGTGTCATATTTGAGAGCTGGTTGGTGACCCAAAAGAAAAAGCTTGGCACACGGTGTTCCTGGTTCTTAATCTGTTTTATGGCTTCTTTCATGAGAGAAGATGGAATCCTGGACCTCGCCTGCAACATCTATAGCTCAAGACAAGGTACGGAATGAGCTTTTGGAGAAGAGATATTTACCATCCTAAAGGCGTTGACTATCCCACCCCCACCCCCCCTTTTTTTTTTTAAAAAAAAAGTACAATTCCTTGTAGTACCTTGATATGTCCCATGTATCTACCTCATGGCTCTTGAGACCCAGAGCTCCAACAACGTTGTTTGTCTCTGGGTCTGAGACTCATTGAAGACAAGACTCTGTGACTGTCTAAGCCTCTGGTCTTGAGAAGCCCCAGGGGGCTTCATCTTTGGCTCCTAAAATGTTCCTGAAGTATGGGTTTCTAGGGTGAGCACTGTGCTGATCAGAGTAGATGATGCCAATCCTGTGCTCATCAGAATCCAAACATAAGTGATCGAGCATCATGCTTGGTACAAAGAAAAACCAGTCTCATCAGTTGCTAAGACTGTTTGATCTTGCTAGAGGAAGCCTGGGTATCTGTTAGTCTTGTTGCTGATTTATACTCAATTCTTAGCGGTGCCATCCCGTAATCATCTTTGAATCAAC